TCTGAGGGATTGGAAGTATGAACGTCAGCAAACGACATAATTTGTCCATGTAAGAAGTATGTATTTGACATTAACAGTATGAACGTAAAAAAAATGTATGTTTTATTTAATTTAATGTATTTATAACATATATTATATTATATATAAATTTTAGCTTTCTACACTCCTTCTCCATTTTAACTATTATCAAATCATTCAACTATTCCGTGCACACAGTATGCTTAACAAAAGGGACGAACTTTTCCCATTACGTATTCTTAGTATAAAGAGTAATTGACGCCTTGGAACATCTGGTAATGCGCTAATATGGAGTTTTTACTATTATGTCAGATTCGTAATCTTTGGTAATTTTTTCAGATTTTTCTCAAGCTTTATTCAAGGAGATATAATAAATAATACTTTTATTGTATGGAAATCAACAACCTTGTTTATTAACTAGAAAATATAGTTTCACATCAAAACAAAAACATTTGATAATTACTATTGCAGTATTGGCGTAAACAATTAACATAAGTGTAATAAGTGCTTAATAAATACGATTAGGTACTATAATTTTGTAGCTTTATTTTAAATAAAAATCAATCTATAATGAGATCTAACGTTTTTTTTTTCATAAGAATAATAATTTATTTTTAATTATATAAGTATTTACTTACTCGTACATTAGAAGAGATTTGATTTTTTCGATTTCAACACTATTTTTTTTACTTTGCTTTTCAACAGTTCGTAAGGCACAACATAATGTATCGTGAAATACCGTTAGGAAAGAATACATATAATAGAGAAAGGCATCCTACTGAAAATACTGTTCAGAAATTGTATGTCAGTAAATTGTATATTATTTGGTACAACAGTCATAGAAAAGAACTATTAATTTCTCAAACTAAAAATTGGTTTGAAGACGCTGACGATACAATAATAGCATCTATAGAAAAAAATGTAGTTACTACCATTTAGGAAGAAAAGAAAAGATTGGACTAATAAAGCAAAAACGGATACAGCCGAGTTTACAATATACTATAATTTAATGTGGGTATCTCAGGTGGGTACCTTCTACGTATATAATTTTATTATTTTTACTACGCAAAATACTATTGCTGTATAGGTATGACACTACTAAATAGCAGAAAGAGGCAGTAATGAAAGTAGTGTATTGCTAGTTTATTTTTTTTAAACCGAAAATGGAACTATTGCAAATATACCTGTGATTTGACTTTTGATAGGCTGTTATGAATGATGAATTATTCGTAGTAATGAGAATAACAATGAAAATTATGAAATAAAAAGACTACTAAATCTAGATAATTAGCGACATGACAAAGATGGTAACGTAATTCGATGGTCTGATCTTTTGGAGGTCAGTGTTACACGCTTACAAGAAAATGCACTCTTTTGAGGTATAATTTTGAAGAGTCAAGATCATAAATTAAAGTAATTAAAATAAAATAAAATAATTTCAAAGCTCCACTGTCGACGAATATAAGACGAAAATGACAAAAGAATAATTTTTCCTCTTAAATTAAATAAAATTGTAAAAAAAAAAGTCAGTAGTATAATGTTACTATAACATCACTTTAAAAATTTACAACAATAATCCCGAGTTAAGGTATAGAATCAAGTCACCTTAATAGGGGGTGGGGGTGGGGAGGGGTAGATTCGCCCCCTCACCTTTTCCCCCGCCAGACAAGCCTACTTTTTATATTAAATGTTGAAGATAAAAAAAATTATTGAATGATTTCTGAGAAAAATCGCTTTAATAGGGAGGGATAGAACAGCAGAATACCAGCGTAAAATAGCAGCATAACGCTGCTGTGTTTCGTATGTTGAGTGTAGAGAACCGGAGACCCCTTTTTACTGGAAACGAGGCATTCCATCTTAGTCCTCACGGGTAACAACGCATCTGCATTTTGATTCGTAAACGAGGATAAATGTAGATGTCTATGGGCCACAGCAACCACTTACCATCAAGTGGACTGTGTGCTCGTTTGTTAGTCTTATTCTATGAAAAAAAATGTTCCGCATCAATTATCACTTTTAACTTCACATTTTAATCATCTCTTCAGAATATAATCGTCGATCAACAAAAGGCCGTCACCCGCAATGGAATCGTGGCCAGGAACCGTCGATTCAGTAGCAGTTTCACCAAACCCTGAGCTCGTGAATGGAACGGATACCGAATCTCGGTCAGTTGCCGCCAGTGCTTGCCAATAATTATAATTAATGTGCAGTGAGTAATCAAAAGGTGTAGCGAAGTCGTCGTAAAATAGCAAGCAATCGGTATCCACAAGGGGTAGCGAACGTGCGTGGTAGAGCCATGCTGCAGCTATATTAGTAATATAGTTGTAGCACGAATGGGTCGGCTCGACCAGGGAAGGACCACGCTCTCACAGAATACCAGCGTAAAATAGCAGCTTAACACTGATGTGTTTCGTATGATGAGTGTAGAACCAGAGACCCTTTTTACTGGAAAAGAGGCATTCCAGTAAAAAGGGTACCGTGTAGTCCTCGCGGGTGATAACGCATCTGCATTTTGATTCGCAAACGAGGATAGACGTAGATGTCTATGGGCCACAGCAGCCACTTACCATCAGGTGGACTGTGTGCTCGTTTGTCACCCTATCCTATAAAAAAAAGCGAAAAGAAGAAGGTAGAGAAGAAGGAGATAATAACTATAAGAAGCACATTCGCGTAAACTCAGAAGCAACGGAATGACGCTTATGACGCGAAGTCGAGTATTTCTGTCACTGTCAATGTCAACTAAATGGCGGCCTAGCACTTCATTTTACACTTTTTGACAGATGCAACTTAAAAAAACGTAAGAATTTTGTGTAGTTTAAGTTCCGTTTCAAGTATTAAGTAATTAGTGATTTACGAATATTTTTATAAAATTATTTTAAATATCTCGACGCAGCTCCGGCAGCTAAAATTGCATGAGATAAGCTGCCTTGACCACCCCATAGTGACAGACTCCTCAAATTCAGGCGACTTGATACTAAACCCAACTCTAATCCTGTAAGTTAATAATACCGAAACACATTGTTAGCGCGTTTTCAGTAATTTGTATTTTCCCATATTGCTTGCAATCAAAATTATTTAACTCAACGCTAGCATCAAAATCAGATTCTATACTTCCTTTTGATATATCAGTTACTTTTATATTCCAACGCGTTTCTGGGTTATACCACAAAAATCGTTAATAGTTTTTCCTGTAATATTTAAGTTTTACGATTACCGACTTATTGCTCGGGGACGTCGAGGTATATGTTTTTCAAAACATATTTTTTAATTTATAAAAAATTATTAACTAGCGTTCACTACGACACCACAGGTAAGCAATAAAACAGATCTAAATGGTAAACTACACTACTTTAGTAACAGCCATTTCACTCACTTCATTACAGTTACCGTTACAGCTTATTAAAGTCCACTACCGAGCATAGGCCTCCCCCATAGACTTTCTCATAGGGGGATATTTGCCATAGTTGCCATGCTTGGCAAACGGGCTTAGTCGTTATTGGGAAGACGCTGCCCTGATGCTCTGTCTCATCTCCTGATTTGTTTGCCTCTATCACCTCTTACGGCCCACGGTATTATGTGGGGTAATGGATATTCTTACACCGCCACTACAAGGTACACGGTAAGTACTATACAGTACGGTCTTCCAAACATTTTTAAATTCTCAGACGGATAAATCAGCACTTAAAATTTCAACTAATAATTACTTGTTGGCGACAGGAATCGAACTAGATTTGCTCGCATCCAATGAAGTTTTATGGGGAAGCCTAACCCCTTGAACTACCACGGATTAATCTTAAGATTTGCGTTAAATAATGCCGCGAAAAAACTTTTTTGCCGTAGAAACATTAAACTTTATTAGTTTGCTTTTAAAAATATGGCGCGTAATTGTCTATTAAAGACAACGCTTCTTACATAAATCATCCATGTCATTTATATTGTTAGACGTATATATTTATTAGTTATTTATATGTACTATTTATATATGTATGTTGATATGTATATATGTATGTTTATGTATGTATATATATTTGTATATATGTATAAATAGGGGATATTTCTATAGTTTATTTATTGCATATATTAGTAAAATGTATATATAACGTAATTAACTATCATTTTATTTCGTTTTTATTCTATATTGCTACACCTATTTCAAATTCTCACCACACCATGGATTGACTGGTAGAGAATGCCTCAAGGCATCTTATAGATTAAGGATTAAGGAATGCAATAAAGAATTTTTTTTTTGTTCTTTTAAAAAACGTTACCCCCACACTAGGATTTCTCCTATATCGTGAAGGCAGTTTACAAACACAAATTGCACAAGGACAAACATCCAGATCAGGAACAATTATTTGTAGGCCATACAAATACATGTTCCGTGTGGGATTCGAACCCCCTGCGCAACAACTCATTGCTAACCCACTGCGCCACGGAGCCGTTAACATCATGATCATAGAAAGAATAAATAAATAAAAATAAACTTTAATACACTTTGTTACTAGATTTAAATATGACTATAAAAGGTGAATAAATTTTGTTGCGCTGACAACAAAATATTAATTAGAGAAATGGTTGTCAGCAGCGGCGAAAGAGAGAATACATCACCTCTTTTAGTCCCGTAGGGCGACTATGGGAAGTACTTGAAAAGTCTGATGACTTCCAATAACTGGCGGTATTTACATCTCGCTTAGGTCATACTTAAAATATCCAGACCAGCGACGGGCAGTAGGTTCAAAGGTGCAAGATGATGATGATGATGATGATGATGAAAAAGAATGTTGTTATGACAAGTAGACAATAATTTAATAAATGAAAACATATATAATAAGTAAGGAAACTACCTGTAAAAAAGCAAAAACGTTACAATATGTGACAAAAAAGTTAATGATTCTAGTCATTATGTTTTTGTACATATTATTAACTATTGAAACTCTATTAAATGTGATGAGTTTGTCGTAAAATAGTTATAAAAAACAAACCAGGTGTTGTCGATGTCCGTGGTGTCATCGGTGTTCCGGGCACTTCTAGTTCATTCTCGACGTCGTTCATGTGGAAATTCTTCAACGCTTCCGGTGTCTTTTTGTATTTACTAACAAAAGAACCTTTTACAGTGTTTACATTTTCGCCATTTTCTTTATCCTCCGAAATTGAATTTCGAATTGATCGCGAACTGACGCGTCTGATTAACGAAGAGGGTGGCACGGCGGGCTGTTCCATATTTAAATCTTTACCGTTGACCGTCGCCATTTTAAACTGGCATTAACTTACTGAAATATTTAATTGTTTTAATGTCTTTGGTTTTTCTTTTATAAGATTAAAATTCACGTTCGATGTGTGCGGATGTCGGTTCGATACTACTTAATTGATGTAAATGGTCGGCAATTTGTTGAGCTCTCTGACCCGTGGTAGGTTATCATGCAAGTAACAACGTTACCAGAATTGTGAGATGAAAACAATTGGTGTTAGTAAAATTTTACTTCCGAGATTGTAGGATTATTCTTCAAATATTACTCAATATAAATGAAATGTTCAATTTAGTTTCAAATATTCAAGTATTACGTAACTATTGATTAGATTCTTCTAAAACTTTTGGTGTGTTATTAATCAAACTCGGGAGCTTATCTATTTTTATATGAGAAATGAGTTATGATATAAGCATGAGCATTTGTGATATCATTTGTATTTTTTTTCTTCTTTTTATTTAATTATAGGGTCTATAACCTTTATATAAAAATTAGATTGCAAGGTTAAAGTAAGGCCGTTACATTTTCATATCCGTACGATTATTGTAGTAGTAATACGTAATAAAGTTAATTATCATATTTTATAAGGATATATTTTATTTAAATTAAATACATTTTCATACGTGGTAGAGCCATGCTACAGCTATATTATGGTTATAGCACGAATTGATCGGCTCGACCGAAAAAGGACCACGCTCTCACAGAATACCAGCGTAAAATAGTAGCTTAATGCTGCTGTGTTTCTTATGATGAGTGTAGAGAACCGGATACCCTTTTTACTGGTAACGACTAACGAGGCATTCCATCTTAGTCCCCAGGTATGACGCATCTACATTTTGATCCTCTCTTATTCTATATCAAAATATATAAATGCTTTTAAAAAACTGTGCACGTTTTAAGCCTGACCAGTTGAATTACGTACTAAGTCAGAATCAGATTCGTTTGTTTCGTGGATCATACGTGTCACATAAATGTTAAATATATTATTATATAATCAAGTTCAACCTTGTCCTACTCTGTGGGCATTCGACTAACCTAACCTGACCTAGCCTAACCTAAAGATTTTTCTGCACACTGCAGTTCGCCTTCTTTAGGGCGTCAAACATTTTAATATTATTTAGAGTCAGAAGATATTTCGCTCGCTTCTATAACAATAACATGAGAATGAGTTGTCGTGAAGGTATAGTTAGAGTAGTAAACAGAATGTTCGGAGAAATACTTATTTGATATTTTTGAAACAAAAATATAGTAATTATATTACAAATAATAGTATATAGTAAACATATAGTATATATTATTAGTTTTTCAGTTGGTCTTACTTATTATGTTAGTTGATTCATAAAGTATGTGTGTGATTTGTATTTAATAATTTTAAGATTGATATCTTCCTTTAACGTTTTAAGTAGTTTATTATTTAATTTAGAAATAATAATCTTATTTTGATGATCTCCATACATATTTTGTGTTTTAGCTGTATTATATGAAATGCGAATGCAAGTCTCAAATATATAAACATATAATATATATAATCTGTGGTACTAATGCTGGATTAGATAGATAGGGAAGATATTATGGGGACAAGCGAACAGAGAAAAGAAAAATATGAAATTAGAACGTGATACACATTCGTCGATTTTGTATTTTTATATTAATTATTAACAATATCTAATTTGTTATGTAAATTTATGCTAATAAATGATAGCAATTAATATTATGTTTTAATTAATTGATACATTGTAGTAATGTGAAGAATTTAATGTACGTGTTAGATATATGCAAGTTACGACACATAATAATTAACTAGGGAAATAGCACAATTTTAGCAAATAACCGGCAAAAGAGCATCATAAAATTTAAAACTTAATTTATAATTGGTAGTTTCGCTATACGTTGTGTGTATATAATATTACTTTTAACTCCTTAAGTACTTTATGATTAATTATCAATAAAACACTGTTAATTTTATTTCTTCATATTTTTATATTTTAAAATTTTTATACGACATATTGTGGTTGCAAGCTTTTACTGTGTATTAGATATCTGTGGAAACTTCATTGGTTTTTGGGTTTACTTTTATATGTTTTATAATGTAATTATTTATTGTACAGTACCTATGTTAACATAAAAAGCAAATCCTACTAATATTATAAACGTAAAAGTTTGGGAGGATGGATGGATGTATGGATGTTTGTTACTCTTCCACGCAAAAACTACTGAATATATTTTAATAAAACTTTACAATAATATAGCTCATACATCAGAACAACACACAGGCTATAATTAATCAATATATTTTGTAAAAGGCTGAATCTGAATGACAGGGTGAGAAATAGTGTGATAAGAGAGGTGTGGTTTGCAATATGACGTTGTGACCAGGATTAAGAAAGGAATGCTTCGGTGGTTTGTTCACGTAGAAAGAATGAACGAGGAAAGAGTGACAAAGCAAATTTATGTTTCAGAAGTGAACGGCAAAGTCGGGAAGGGACGCCCTAGACGAAGATTTATCGACCAAATCGGCGATATATTGAAAATGGGCCAGATTAGGAGTACCCTTAACCGACGAGCGTGTATGCGTAAATATATGGATGTAAAGGAGGCGAGAGAGGTGTGTCAGGATTGCGCCAAATGGAAGTTCGTAGTCTCTGCCTACCCCTCTGGGTGACAGGCGTGAGTGTTTGTATTGTATTGTATATTTTGTAAATTTGTCAAAATATAACGATAAGTGTTAGGTAAGTCGGAAAATATCTGTCATCTGCGAGCTATTTTGGCGTGCAGTGCAAAAACTGTAACAATTACACAATTACAATGTACGGTATCTTTTATATATAAGCCTATTTACCCAAATAGTGAAACATAAGTAAAATAAATTTTGATACATTATTTCCAATGCACATTTTGCATTAACAAATGAATTTTATCAAAATAAATACTTTAATCTGCGCAGGGACGAAGTCGCGGCCAAATGTTAGTATAAAATAAGTTAAACTACAAAATCCGTAAAAAAACTAGTTTTATTTAAATGTGTAGTGCTCGCGTATACATAATAAATCATTATTATGATTATAATTATGGTACATCACTATTCAATATTATAGATATGGCTTAATTATTTTTCTATTAATATTAATATCTAAACCATCGATAAAAAATTTAATCTGTTGGTTACATAATTAAGTACACCTCGATTACCTTTGACGATGTCGGAAGCGATGTGTTACGAGTAGACGTGCTAGTAGATCTCGGTTAAGGTAACTAAACATTTAACATAAAAAAGTCATTATGATCACTTATAAGTGTAATTAAAAGAAGCCGGAACTATTTATTTTGAAACCTTTAAATTAAACCCTGTAAATTGTTAAACGATAACCATAGAATAAAAACTATAAAAAAAAACCTACGACACGAAAAGAGTTGATGATCTTCAAACGACTGGAAAGATTTTCATGAATCATAAGCCTAAGAAAACTCTCGATTAAGTCACCTTGTAAATAAAACAAAACTAAATCAAAATCGGTTCAGCCGTTTGGGACCTACGATGCCACAGACCGACATACAGATACACATAAACACACGTTAAACATATGCCACCACTAAAATAAAAGAATTAACAACTTTAAAATTTACTTAATTTAGTTTTATTAACACTATCAAAAGGTTTCCCCGAATTAAAAACTTTCCCCTGTTGCTATTTCACGCTATTATTATGATGTACTAGCTGTTCACCGCGACTTCGCCCGCATGTAATTTGGGGTTTTAATTATGTTGCGCGGAACCCTAACAGTTTTTCTAAAATATAAGTAGGCTAAGTTACTCCTTATAACATCAGCTATATGCCAGTGAAAGTCCCGTCGAAATCGGTACAGTCGTTTCGGAGATTAGCCGGAACAAACAAACAGACAGACAAAAATTTTAAAAATTGTGTTTTTGTTATAAAAATATACTTTCATATGCATTTAGTGAAAAGCTGTAATTTTGATATTACAAACAGACACTTCAATTTTATCTATTTGTATAGATGTGTAGATGAGTGTGATCTATCTACGGTCAGCGTACCCACTGGTACACGCATATTTAGCCGTATGTGTATTTTTTGCCCAGTACTCAATCTTATTTGGTACAATTCTCTTACCCATTTCTACCCCAAGCTGCAATACAACCTTTCCTGTGTTTATTAATTCACTCTAAGAGCGAGGGAGTCGGTATCATTTCAGGTTGTGTGGCGTCATTTAAGCCCTCAAGGGCGACAACGCATTGGTTGTCTTCTCCGTTTGAAGTCCAGGTGCTGCAGAAACCACTTACTATTAATTGGACTCCTAGTCACACGTCGCCTTGATACATTTTTTTAAATGAGAGTGACAAAAGAGTACACATTCCACCTGATGGTAAGTGGATACTGTAACAGAAATCTACATTTTTTCTCGATTAAGTATCAATATGCAGATGCGTTGTCACCCGTGAGAACTAAGGTTGAATGCCACGTTTCCATTAAAAAGGGTCTGCGGTTCTCTACACTCATCATACGAAACACAGCAGTGTTAAGCTGCTGTTTTACACTGGTATTCTGTGAGAGCGTGGTCCTTCTCCGGTCGAGCCGACCCATTCGTGCTACAACCATATTATAGTATTACTATATACACTACTATTTACTATATATTAATTACTATATATAATTAAACAAAAAGCCGTCTAAATAATATTATGAAGGAATTGAATAAAAAGATTTTATTAAAATCAAAACGCCCGACGTTAGTTCTTATTAATGTAATCTATATATATCATTGACGGCTCCGTGGCACAGTAGAGGTAACGTTTATTTAAAAAAAAAATCTAAGTAGAATTACGCGTTTTTATGTTAATAATCACACAACCTTCTGTTAATGCGCTAAAAACTAAGTTTTCTATATTACTTATCTAGAACACTTAACTACTAAAAATTTAAAATTAACTTCTCATTTCTATTCCAAATTCTATTAGAGAAGGAATAGCACCAAGATAACCGCAATA